ACTGATAATTGGGGTTTGGGTCCTGAAGGCTGAGCTCACACTCGCCATGTTCCCAGTGCAGTCTGACTCACTGGTCTGCATGGTCCTTGACTGTGTTCCTGTTGGGGATAAAGCAGTGATGAAAAGCCTAATTCCTGGCTTTGACCTGCTTACACCTTGACTGCCTAGAGCAGCCTGGTGAGGTGCCCAGGGCTTGAGAATGGGTGGATGAGCTTGTTGCTCGGTTTATGCTTGTGTGGTCAGCACTCCAGTGACACAGCCTCTGTCCCCCCTCTTGTCCTCAGGTGGGCCTCTTGATCTCATGTCTTGCAGAGTGGTTGCTGCGGGCACCCAGGAAATGGCAGTGCTCATAGCTCAGGCCTTACAAACTATTAACTATGGACGGGACGATGGGAAATGAAAAGGAGCAGATGACAGAAAGAGAAACGCTGACCCAAGGAAGAGCCGGCCTGTCTGGAATACTGGGACTCGAGATGGATCCTCTCCTTTAACCGCTTGTTCTCAGCATCAGATGTCTGATGTGTTCCTGCTGCCCCAAAGGGAGATGCTTTGCTAAAGCATGTGGCTTCTTTGTAATCTATGGATTGGGTGTGTAGCTGGTTTCTCTCTGTAATCAGGTCGATACACGTTCTTCTGTTGGGGCCAAAACCCAGCTCTCCTATGGCATCGTATTTATAATTCAGTCTTGGTATTTTTTTCTGGAATGCAAATCTCAGGTAATAAGGCTTTAGAACAGTTAATAAAGTGGGTTCGTTCTCAGGCCTGCCCCCATGATGCTTCAGAAGGCAATAAATCAAAGTAGCTGATCCGTGTCCCTACCGTGCCTGTGTTGCCCCACCAGCCTGCAGGGTCCATGGTTAGGTTCACTAGGAAGGTTTGCGTATTTAACCCAGGGTGACAGTGTTCCTTCCTCTTTAGCTCATGCCTTCGATAGGCACTGTGAAAGCTACTTCAGTGATTAACATACTAGTATCCAAATTCAGCGTATGGGACAGACTACAGAAAACCGAACAGCTCAGAAACGGACCTCTGAGTGCCAGTGTTTTTGTGGTCAGCTCACGAGGAGAAATTCTAATCAGTATGAACTGACTTGCCAGGTATCTTTTCTAAAGTTTTGAATCGGGAAAGTCAGTCTTAAGACAGAGAGGAAATTCCAACTTATTTCCAAACTCTTCTCTCATATTCCTGACTTTTCATTCCTAATTTCATATCATCAACAACAAATTCGGAATATTTGAAAGTGTCCCTATATTGGCTGTCTCTGGCCTCGGTGTTCCCCCTGGGCGGCTTTGAGAACCAGGGTCACTTGTGAGCCCAGCTGTGAGCCTTGGCACCAAGCTTAGTGCATGTCGAGAATAGCTTTTGAAACAGGTGCTTGATAAACAAGAGCCTCTGCCCTCTGGGGATATTTGACCAGCTGAGGTTGGTGGATGTCCCAGTGGACTAGCACCCACTCCTTCTCAGGCTTCATCTGCTTATCTACCACACAGGACCCTGACCTGCCTGAGACAGCTTTGAATTGGGCCACATTCTGCCTGGTGAGGAGTGACTTGCTGGGGGTACCACTGGTGCCATTAGTGCCTTAAACTTTTCAAGGAGCCTAGAAGGTTCTTTCCAAGCGCCTACCTTGCTCTGTGGGAGCGGTTTCATGTGTTACTGTTTCTGGAGCCTCTGGAGCCACAGGCAGAGAAGACATCATCGTCATACTCAGTTTATAGTTCAAGAGTGGAAAACACCAGGACACTTATAGCTGGTATTTTAGTCATTCTTCCAGCAAAATGGTTATATATACATTGTGTGTGTGTACTATGTTCAAATTCATTTTGGACAATGAAAATATGTAAGCACTTAGCTAAGGTTTTCTGAATGAGGTGAGTTTTAACAGAAATTTTGAAGAATATTAACTATAT